ATACTTTAAAGACAGTTTAAAGTCTGGTACGCATTCGAAATGGTGTGAGGAGGATCGTCAAAAGCCAGCGGGAGTATTGGTCCACATTCCTGAGATGTGATGACAACAAATCAAAGGTGTTTCCATTAATTGTAAACGAAGTAGTTGACAACATTGACACAAATCACGGATTGTTTGTAGGGTCTCTGGGAGACGGAGCTGTAGCATCCATTGATGCCATGTAACATGGAAGAGGGAAATGAACGTATGTTTGTTCATGTTAAACATGCTGCCGAAAATTTTCCGCGCATTCATGTCAAGCCTGTAGACAGTGATGTTGCTTTTATTGCGTTGTCAGCATCCAGGAGTTTTGGCTCGAGTTTGGAATGGGGAAGCACACTACATTCCAATACACAAGATTGCTTCTTCTCTTGGACCACAGATATAAATCGCTTACTTGTTCTTTCACTCCATTAGCGGTTGTGATACAACTTCATCTGTTCAAGGGAAAGGTAAAGCATAATTTAACGAAACTTGCCAAAAAAAATGCCATGCATGACTCCAATATTCGAGAGAATGTCATCATCTGTAGGAGGTGTTCGTGACAGTGGCCTACTTAGAAGTCTTAAAATGGGGGAGGGGGCTGATGGGGGCACGGGTGAAGTGCGGGCTCGATGATTCGTTGAGGGGCGCTAATTCGCAAAATAAGGTGATTTTTAACTACTTGACGGTGATTTTTTGGGGAGCGACTGGGGGAGCGCGAGTAGATAAGCCATGGTAAGAAGGTAAATGATACAAGGCGATACCTATTTACAACAAGGGGAAAGGTAAAAGAGAAAATTCCCCCAACATCTGCTGCATTAAAGGAACATGTCAAATGATCTGTACTACAAGCCAGGAAGTGGTACAACTGTCTAGATGCCCTCAGAGTTGAACAGGACCCAGTTGATTGGGGATGGATGAAGGGACGACAACCAAATTACCCCAGTTTGGAGCTCTCTGCCGGAATTTCAAATGTCACCAAGGTGTTAATTTGTTGTTGACACACCGACTGTGAACTTGGAAGTTGCAAATGCAGAAAGAATGGATTAAGATGTACCGAGTTGTGTGGTTGCCAGTGAAAATTTTAGACAAGACCTAACAAGAAGTATCCCTGTGTTCATTTATGTAAACATTAAACATCGAGAATTTGTTATCGATGTTAATAATTACAAACTATAATTTATGTTTATTTTCTAAGAAATAGCATGTGAAACTATGAGAATGTGTATAATATATATTAATAACTGTGACAATAACATAATTATGCTGTATCTCTATTACATATTATGTAATAGAGAAACAGCATAATTATGTTATTGTCACAATTATTAATAGAGTTCACAGATGGTTGATCAATTGATGCATACTTTATTCGATTAAATGTACTAACATACACCATATTAAGCAAAATAGACATTCCAAAGTGTAAGTTATATCATTAATAGGTCCATGGTTATATCTATATAATAGGTTTTCTTAATGCCAATTACAATTACTTTGTTTCCCAAATTAAAAAACCATTAAGTGAGGTTATATCCAAAATGTTTGTTGTGACCAATAATCACACCATATTTACTGCATGTAATAAAGGCTATAAATGAAGAAGCCTTGAAACCATGTTTTTGGCGGCCATCTTGGAATTCAAAAGAGCCAACATTCATTCAGTCAGGTACTTGTAATTGAATATTTGTTTAATAAACCGGATAACATTCACCGTAATTGAGACTCTACAAGTTCAGATATGCGTTGTAATGCAATATAATGGCAGCCATCTTGGAATTCAAAATGGCCGCCATGTACTCAAAATGCAAGTTATACTAGTGTGTTTGTTGACCTCAATACCATATACTTTGCACCTAAAAATCAGAACACTAGGTGCCTTTTTCGCTGAGATATACCTAAAAAGTGAAAATTTGGCGTCCGCCATTTTGAAATCCAAGATGGCCGCTTTCCCCTACTCAAATTTTGGGCAACCCTTCCATTCCATGTTTTTAATACCCCAATGAATAACTGTGCCAAGTTTCAGAATGTTATCACAATTTGAAAAATAGGCTAAACAAAACTTTAAGGTCTACCATTTTAATGGCAGCTATCTTGGAATTCAAAATGGCCACCATGCAATCAAAATGCAAGTTATACTAGTGTGTTTGTTGACCTCAATACCATATACTTTGCACCTAAAATCAGAACACTAGGTGCCTTTTTCGCTGAGATATACCTAAAAAGTGAAAATTTGGGGTCCACCATTTTTAAATCCAAGATGGCCGCTTTCCCCTACTCAAATTTTTGGCAACCCTTCCATTCCATGTTTTTGATACCCCAATGAATAACTGTGCCAAGCTTCAGAATGTTATCATAGTTTGAAGGATTGGTTCACTTAACAAGTCTACTATAAACAGAAAAAGGATAATTGACTTGTTTGAGACTGGAGTGGTCCATGTCTAAATAGTGAACTTCAATACAACCATCGTTTTACCAATGGTTATTAATTTACTGGTATAAATAGCGAAAACAAAATATTGTTATAATTCTTGAGGAATCGTCATACCAATAGAGCTGTCTCTTATACACATCTTATTGAGGTAAGAGAGCTCCTCCTCCCGTTGGGGTGAAAAACAAAATTAAATGCATTTTCTACATATTAGTAGACTCTAAAATCGATTTAATAAATTTTTTTTG